TTATTCAATTGTGTATAAAGTAATGACATCTCTTTGATTGAATATATTAATTTTCTATCATATATACATTATTAACAATACATATACATGTATCATTTCATATATCAAATTAAATATTCATAATAATAAGTAAAATATTGATAAAACTTATTGTGAAAGAGATATGCATTATATTTAATCGAGTATAAGGTTTGGTTAGGGTTCAAAGGTTGTCTCGGACGATATTTGGGGTCAGGTTAGCTTTGGGTCTAGGACCGATTCCCATTCAAAAAAATGACCCTACCAACATTTATGGTCTGTTAAGGGACAAATCTTACCCGACCCATGTTCTCCCCTACTATTTAGTTCAATCTTAATATTGAAGACTAAATTAACACAAGAAAATATAAAATAAGTGGAACAAAAAATAATATGAAATATATTTTCATATCAAGAGATAAATTATTTACTTAAATAATTAAAACTATGATGCGTCCTATTTTTTAAATTTTAGAAATATTTTTTAGAAAATGATGAATTATGATAGATGTCATGATTTTAATGATTGGATGAGATAATTTATTTTCTGATATGAGGAGATCTCTTATTATCTTTAAAATATATATTTTTGTTTTACGAAGGGTATCACCTCACTTTTTGGGCAAGAAACTAATGTCTCTCGAGGTCGAGATGGATGACTGCTTCTTCCGAACCCTTAAACTTTTGGTCATCTTATCAATTTAGTGAGACTTTATATCACTAGACCAACATTTTGTTGGTTATTCGTAAAATATAGGGAGAAAAGTAACCAAGCTTATGCTCTTTTCTCTAATTAGGCCCAGTCCATTAACCATTATTGTGCTTGCTAGCACTCCACAATTAGGGTTTGCTCATTTTCCCCCCTAATTGCTGCAATTTCCAACAATGAAGAATGAAAAAAACATGAGCAAGAGCCACAACAATGAGAAGAAGACAATGATGATGAAGAAGAAAAAGAACATTTCAAGGTTAGGTGGAGGTGGTCTTTCACTCAACGCTTTCGCCAATGCCAAATCCAACAACAACAATCACTATAACCCTTCTCTCATAAGTATGCAACTTTATTTTTACTCTTCCAATTTTATTGTTTCTTATTCTCTTTTTACTCTCATAAGGCTTTTTTATCTATGTTATGTCTGAGTTTTAGTGAATTTTTTTAGTTTGAAACTATTACTTTGTGAATGATTATGACTTCAATTGAATTATCATGTGGGAATTCAACCATACAATCGAGAATTACAATTATTGTTGTTGAATTCAATTCTATGCTGTGTGCAGTGGTTTTGAATGTTCATGTAGATATTGAAAATGGGTGACGGAAAATTTAATGTTAGATGTTCATTAACATATTCAATTTAGAAATAGAAAATTGATGCTAGTTGTGAGTGGTTAGTGTTACTCATTTATATTTTTATCTGTTACATAGAAGTTTTCAAAAAACACTTTTCATGTTGGAATTGTTAGGCAATGAGTGTTTATAGCTTCAACTGAATGATTAGGTGGAAATTCCGTTATATGTTTTCACTCTTCGGTACATCGCACACTTGTGAATGGTACTGTAGAGAAGGAGAACTGATGAAAAAAATCAATTTTTTTGTTTTGCTTTATAATATTTTCAGTTTAGGATGAGAAAAATATTGCTAGTTGTGGGAACGAATTTGATCCCAGCTTTTGGAGGAAAAATTTGGGCTTAGGGTTTGGTTAGGTTTCCCAGGACTATGATTATGAGATATGAATCTCTGATACTTCAGTTTCCTTTGGGTATCCATATTTGATAATGATATTCTCTGATAATGCATCACTACATATTGAAGCAATATCGGTTGAATTGAATTTTAAAAATAAATAAATACCCTTATACATTTTTGGTACGTTGTGCTATGCCATAATGATATACGAAAGAACATTATTGTGTCGTTCGATTCATGTAGTTGATACCACCTAATGGGTTTTAAGGCTTGATTTTTGTTGTGATGTGCCATTATTAGCCTTTCGATACGATTTGCAACATTGTCTGATGATGATCCAGATATAGATGCCGTCTTTAAAACAAACCTATTGCTTGATACTAAAAACTGAAAGAGTATGAATTTCATCTTCTCCTTAATTATCATATGCAAAAAGGGCAGGATCTATATCTGGTTCAGCAAGAGACAGACAATAACATATCGGAAGACTAATAACGGCTTATCGAAAATGTACTGGGGTATTTATTTTAAAATTTAATTTGACCAATGCTGCTTTTGATGCATATTATGATGTATCAGAGAGTATCAGTTTCAGATACGAATACGTGAAGGGAATTGAAGTTTAGGTGCTTCAAAGCTCGTATCAACATCGCCACATCGGTGCTTCATAGATTATGAGTGAGATAGTAAGTTTTTGATTGGTCTTTGAAGAGAGTTCACTACTAACAGACCTTTGAATTCATGCTCAAGGATTGTCCTTTATATTACTCTGAGCTAATTTCATGTGGTTTTGTTTACAGAATTAATTGTTTTGATGATATGATATCTTAAATTCAGGTCATCATTAAACTATATTTGATTCATTAAACATATGCAAAGACTTTGTTTTGCGGTTTTCGTTAGTAGTAAGTTCTCAGGACGCCCTACAATTTCCCATTTTTTGTAGCCACAGTCTTTTAGTAATTAAGGTCTTCAACTATTGCTCAAATTCTGAAAATTTCCTTTATTCTTTTTGTACTATGAACTTATGAAGTGGGATGTTGTTGTCACCTCGTCTAGCTTAATTTCCTTTGTTATATAAATCCAATTACACCATCTCATGTGCATGTTGTTTCTTTTGTTTTGTCAGAAAAGCAAAGGGAGTTCTATAAGAATGCTAAGAATGTGAATAAGTTTAAGAAGTTGGTAAAACAGCAAAACCAACAGAACAATCCTTCTTTGACCCAGAGACTGATGGAGGTGAGCTTGCTACCACTTATTTGATTATAGGCTAAGCTTTGCTAAGAAATTGTATTTGTTCATGGTCCTGATCTACTATTTACTATTTATTGAATTCTTCAAGTGTCCAGTGTGATAAAAGAAAATTTATGTTTTCATGGTTTAAAACGAAAAGCTGATGTCTCAACCTTACATTATTGATCCAATGATGGTCCTTATTAACATTCATATGATTGGCCTAGCTAAGAAGTTGGATTTGTCAATAATCCTGATAAAGTTGTTTTACCATCATTTATAAAATCCGTTGACTGTCCTGCTATGTTGCATGAATACATGTATAGTACCCGGTACGGAACAACTATGAGATATGACATTTAAAAAAATATGGTGTTGGTATGCTAATATAAATTTTAAAAAATGCATATAAGAAAGGTAGAAAGGATTAATGTTAGCACTAACATATGATAAAGGGAAAAATCCTAAGTTCCAACCCAAAATGACATAGCTTTAGAACAATTCACGCTAAAAAGTACCCAATAGTACCGATACCTGGTACATACTTGATACAGGTCACCATCTTTAAGTACCCACACAACATAGGTGTCCCTTGTGTGATAAATGCAAAGTTATGGTTTAATGATTTAAAAGGAAAAGGTGATGTCTCAACCGATGTCGTTATTAACATTCTTATGATTGATTTAGTTGTGGAGCCCCTAAGAATTTCTACTGTTATAGCTATTCATAAATTACACTCTTGAATCTTCTAATATGGTGTTGGTATGCTAACATAAATTAAAAAAAAATACATATAAGAAAGGTAGAAAAGATTAATGTTAGCAGTAGCAGAGGAAAAAGGGAAAAATCCTAAGTTACATCCCAAAATGACATAGCTTTAGAACAACTCGCACTAAAAAGTAACCAAGATACTGGTACCTGGTACATACCCGATATCTCAACCTTGGATTAATGGTTTAAAAGGAAAACTGATGTCTCAACCTTGGATTAATTATCCAACTGAGTTGGTTAGTAACATTCTTATGATTGATTTAGTTGTGGAGCCTAGGAATTTATATTGTTACAGCTATTCATAAATTACTCTCTTGAATCTGCATTTTTAAGTATACCACTCATTCCCTCTCTGCATGATGTTGCAGAGTGTGAACGAAACTGGAGAGGATAAGGACAAGAGTGAGAGGAGAAAGAAGAATAGTGCCCTTAATTTAGAGGAACTATACAAAAAGAAGCATGAAGAGATAGAGAAAGAAAGATTGGAGAGAGAGGCCATTGTCAAGGCAAAGAAGGAAGAGAGAGAAAACGCTGAAGCTCGGCGAAAAACTTTTCGGGAGAAAATGCTTAAGAAGACACGGAAAGGGCAGCCGGTTATGAAATACAGAATAGAGCATCTTTTGGAGACTATTCAAGGTTCGACTAATAACGAAGCTAACAAGAAATCCTGAGTCATGGAGTAGTAGAGAAGGGCCAATTGCATCAATCACCTTATATCTTGAATTTAATAGCATGATAATGTTCTCAATTACTTATGACCCACATCAATTCAGTGTTGTAGTATTAGTAGAACTTTTAATGATGAACAATGTGCCACAAGGGTGGGATATATACATTATAACATGTTTGATTGTGCAAAGTTCTGGGGTTATACTGTTATTCATTAAAAAAAATTGTGTAGACAAATATATTAACACCTTGATCACTGTTATGGTTCTGTCAAATTTACTACCAAAGTTCATGCCAGTAATTGTTATCTAGTAGCAGTGAGCAAATAAGTTAGCATTTGAGAAGTGTTTGAAATCAAACTCATGTTGTGTGTAACTATCTAAATGGAGAATTTATGTAAACTTCATGTTGTGTCCATTTTCATTTGAGTGCCATGAAGTGTTTGAAATCAAACTCATCTAAAAATTGATGCCTGTTATGTATTCCTCTTATTGAAAAGAACCTTTATTTACTTAATTATTTATTCAGTTCCATTCTATTGACAGGATCAGGTTATAGCTATGAAATAAGATGATAATTTAAATCGGACCCTAATAAAATATAATAGAAGCAAGATAAAAGTTCTAAAACAAAAAAGTTAATGCTTTATTTCCTTTCTGCAACATGGTTTACACAAGATAAAAAACTACACGAGGGTGATACAACCATTGGAATGAACATTTAGCCTTTGCACACAAAACTGTAGTGAAGAAAAAACAAAGATTCACATGAATCAGTGGCTGTCTAGTCATGACTGAACTGAGAATAGATCGTGAGAAGAGAATAATGTATCTCCTAGTATAAAAAGATAAATTATCTTCTACAGCCACTAAAATTGTGATACGATGAGATAAGAAGAGAAATATTTCAAGGAAAGTGGCACACCATAACCCTCCTCCTAGGAGAAGAACAAATGAGCATGAGAGAGAGAGCAATAACAAGGGCCATGAGAAATCCCATGAAATCAACACATACCTCTTGGCAAACCTTACTCATAGCTAAAATTTATGCCTTAATCTGCTCTTCAAGAAATGAAGTCAATGCAAAAATAAGTGCATGTATATGTCCATGGTATTATGTTAGTTTTTATATTTATAACTTGATTTTTCTAACTAATAAATTGACCCATTTGCAATATTATAATTCAAGTCCATTTGATTATGGGTTTATAAGTAATTTCCTAACGAGGGCTTTTTCAAAGTTAAGTTGGACCGATGTTGATTGACAAAACAACAGGACAGTAGAAGGAAGAGCATGGTGTAATAATCTTTGACATCAATACATAAAAGAAGAAAGCATATAGCTCTCATCTAAATAAATATCTAATGAATTCTAAAAAAGATAACTATATACCGCTTTACAATTTCCAAGTTTAATAAAAGTAGGTAATAATTACTTTTTTTTTTAAATATTGTTCCACCTTGGTCAACCAGACATATCTGGTAGATCGGGTGGGCCTCTTCCCCGGCCGGCCATGAACCATATATGTCTGAGCTAAGGTTTCAATCAAACGCATCGATGATGATTGCACATGTTGGGCCGGTTCTAGGACCATTACCCTGATGTCCCGCCCGACACGCCGCCAACAACTTATTGTCGTGCTACAAATTTCACCTAACCTCATGCCAACAGGACAAGAGATAAGCCTACAATATGTCTGTCAGACTTGCTATATACTACAAGTCAACTACAGAAAGAGTACGACCCTGCCAAATCTGTCTGTCACGGGTAATACAACCCCCGAAAGATGCAAATGGTCGGTCACTTCAACAGTACCTCACAAAGGCTATTCCGTCCATCCCACCACTATAAATAGGGGAATCTCCATAAGAAAGTATGATCTATTTTACTATTCAATATTATTCACTCTTATCATTATTGTTCTTTACTTCCACTTTAGTCTCATACTGACTTAATTGTTAGAACATTTTTTCAGATACCTCTACCAACAAGGTCCAAGTTCAACTTGGATACTTTCGTAAAGATTTCTTACCCAAACTACCAGCCCGACCCACAAAACTTATCAGCAAAGTATTAATAAAAATATTGAGTCTCATCACTTTTAAAAATGAAAAATGAATTGTATATATATAAATTAAAGTCACATGATTAACTGGAATGATAAATATGTAGAGATATGAGAGAGGGTTTGTGACTTTATAGTGACTTTATAGTGACTTCTAAATTCACTACTATCTGGAAATTCTTCGGTAAGGAAATATCATTTATTTTACTATTCATTCTTATTATTCTTGCTCTTTACTTTCTTCTTCAATTTCATATTGATCGTCGGAGCACCTTTTTAAGTACCTCTATCGGCAGGTCCAAGTTTAGCCTGAACACTTCCGTCTTACCGGACCTACCAGCCCGACCCACTAAACTTATTATCAAAGAACAAGTTATTAATAAAAATATTGACTCTCATCACTTTTAAAGATGAACAATGAATTCTATAAAGATATTAATCTCACAGCATTGACTGAAATGATAAATATGTAGAGATATGAGAGGAGAGAGGAGAGAGAGAGAGAGAGAGAGCAAGAGAGAGAGAGAGGGTCTGTGACTGTATAGTGACTTCTAATCCTAGCTTGCTTTATAAATTGAAAATTGAAAATTGAAAATTGAAAATTCAATACTCAGCCATCAATTTTTGAAAACCAAGTATCCCCAATTTCAATTTTCTTAAACTATTCAGCCAGCCAGAAAAATATTTATTATTCAATTGACTTGCTGTACAAATTTCTCGTGTGCCATACAGAAGGTTGATTATTTTTAATTCCCTTTGACCTAAATCTAATCCCATACATATTCAAAATCTTTCTAGAACTCAAGGATTCCACTTCACCTAATCCAAAAGTAATGGTTTGAACCCCAATCATTGACCAGGTTTTTATGTTTTCACTGTGGTTTAACAAATAGCTATGTACAAAATAAATAAAAAATTACCTATTTCATTGTTTGTTAGCTTATTTAAAGTTAAATATGTTAACCTGTGTAAAATCTTACAGCATAATAGATTAATATGTTTGATTTTTTGATATGATAGGTCAAGTTCAAACTTTTATATACTATATAGATTATGTATTAGAGTAAAATCTAACCAATTTCCACTAGGACAAAGATTATATGTCTCACTTTCTCTCTCACTCCATATATCAGACCAATCAAAATTTTACTTTTTATTTCTTTTTGTTTTCAAAATTTATATTTTATTCATATAGCAACATTTTGATTGGTCTGGTACACGGAATACGACAAAAAGTGAGATCATTTTCCCTTCTACAATGGATAAGAGCATAATAACTAATTATGAAACACAATAAAAATATAATAACTTGTATAAGTGCCACAACTCTATTTAAACTCCTTTTTAATAATAGATGATGTTTCAGCTACCACAACAGAAAGAAAGGACTCAATGTCATCACATTCATTTAATATAGTATCATATGTTTTGTAAAAATAATTCATCACGTGGTATAGAAAAGCTGATTTCAAATAGACTTTCATTTAATCCAAAGGTAATTTTTTTAAGTTATTTTCAATCTTAAAATTTAATATGAAACTTTAATATTACATTTGAAAAAAAAAGACTATTAATTTACTAATACTTATAAGTTAATCAATAAAAGCTACAATAATTTTAAAGCTAATCAGGAAGTTTATTTTGAAGTTGTTTTTGAAGCGGATGGGAGAAATATAAAAACTTGATAAACATCTCACAACTGAATAACGTTACTTTCAACTTTTTTTCTCTCATTCATTCTCCTCAAAAAGACAACTTTGGAACAAATCCTAAACTGATTAAAGATTTACATAATTTCATCCCAAACTAAAATTGATAACAAGGCTTCTCACATTTCAAAAACATAATATTTTAGGTGTCTAGAATTCATAGGCATATTCACTTCTAAATTTTGTCAATCCTAGAGAGTTGAGACTAATTTAAACATGTATATCTTTGACTTATATTGTTTCACTTATTTAAGAAGTGTATTACTCAATACCTTATTTGACACATTTCTTAAGATAACAGAAGTGTTTTCCATGTCTAGTAGTTATTGTTGAATTTGCAAGTGACTCCTTACTATTAAAGTTTTATGTCTATTAAATATATATTTCTTGTATTTAACATAACCCACTTTAATTAGAGATGACAAAAAAATCAAATTCATGGATACCGGTGAAAATACCAATAAAAATAGTTTATAAATGGGAACAAGTATTATGATAATCTCACTGTGGGCATATGCGAATACATTTTATTTGCACGGTTACTCATAAATAATGTGGGTATATGTATGGATAATCATTAGACATAGTCGAAGGACCATGTTGCCATCCCTAACTCCAATGCATGATGAGATTAACTTTCAGTTCATGGTTGTATTAATTTATTATTTACTTAAGAAGGAAAATATTTCATGGTGTTTGATTTTTTATAAAAATAATAATTAAGATATAGCATTATGGGTTGGGCTCAAACAACTTTCCTGATGCTGACTTATACACTTTTCCTATTATGGGTTTTAAAATTTCAGAATCTCACACTGACAAAAGCAGAGGTTTACACTACCAATGTTCAAAAGTGAACATGTTTAGTCATTGTTGAGGCCCAAAATCACAAAACTGAAATGATGGAGTAGTTGAACTTTTCCACACTTCAAAAATCATTTATTTTGAAGAGATTAATATCAATGCTTTCTGTATACTTTTTTTGCACTATATTATTAACTTCTTCGCAAAAAAAAATCATTTTTATTAATTTTATTTAACGATCGATCGTAGTAAATATATGAAGGGAGAAGATCAACTTACTTCAAGAGTAAGTTTTTTAAATTTATTTCATATCTTAGTCATCAATTCTGGTTTGAATTATTAAGTGAATTTAAACTATTAGATTTCCCTATAATTGATGGCTAAAATGTTGAGTAAGTTTAAAAAACTTATTTTTGAAGTGAATGAATCCCTCCTCATATATGAATGATTGATGATGAATTGACAATATAAAAAACTCTTATGTTATGAGTGCATACATATTAAAATCATATTTTGAATTAGTGTAATATTTATATAATGTTAATATAAAAATTTATACACAGACAATATATCATCCACCATTTATTTGAATTACTTTTTTAAAAGATCAAGAATGATAATGTCAATATAAAGATTTATAAACAGACAATATATCATACACCATTTATTTCAATTACTTTTTTAAAAGATCAACAATGATAAAATATGAATGATATATGATATAGTGATGATGTATAAATTACATTGTCAATGAATATTTCTTTTTTGATTTGAATTTATCATATAGGGTTGAATGTTGGGGTTGGTCACGTACTATTATACACCATGCAAAGTGTGAAACTGTTAACTTTGGGTAGCAGCATGATTTGTAACTTTTGTAATGATGCAGCATCCACTTGCTACTGTAATATAATAATGAGTGTGCAAAACAATAGTTCAATCAGAATGAATTATATGAAGCATCTAACTCAGTGAATTAATGATAAAAGGACCATAGTAATAAGAGAATATAAATGATGATGATCATGAACAATGAAACGTGTGGTCATCATTAACCAATGAAAAGAGCCCTCACTAGTTACACATATTAATTCTTTTTTTAAATTCACCACTTTTTTTTTTCTTTATTGACTAGATAAGTTTGGTGGGGTAGAGGGTAATTATAATTTTTTTCAATGTTAGGGAAATTATAAAATTATAGTAATTGATGTAAGAAATTTTGGGTAATGTTTAAATGTGTTTAGGTGATTATTATAAGTAGCCAAATTAAAGTGATATACTTCAAGTAAAGTTTATGATTATAGACATAATTATCATGAAAATTATTGTGTAGATATCTAATGTCTTATTTCTATTTTATGGTTGACAAAATTGGAAATAAGAAAATCAAATAACATCACCCTTCATGGAAGGGTATGATGCACTTCTTATAAATAGGGGTTATGGTCTCCAATTGTAGAACATACCATGACCATAAGATGAACCACAATAAAATCATTATTTTCTTCATCCCATTAGAGGATAAACTAAGACTAAAGGTGGTCTACAATCGGAATGTCAAAGAACATACATGTTCTACTA